TTTTTGAGTTGGAGTCCCACTCTGTTGCCCAGACTGGAGTGCAGTGGCCGCTCCCGGTCATCGAAGCCTTGACCTGCGGGGCTCTGGCGATCCTTCTGCCTCAGCCTTCCGAGTAGCTGGAACTACAGGCATGCGCTACCACGCCCGGATAATTTTTTTGATTTACTGTAGAGATGAGGTCTCGCCAGGCGGGTCTCAAACCCATGGGCTCAGGCAATCCATTCACCTCAGCCTCCCAAAGTGCGGGATTGCAGGCTGTGCCACCGAACCCGGCCTCTCTTTTCTTTTTATTATTTTTTTTATTATAAAGATGTGGGGTACAATTCAGGGTTAGGTCTACAAACATTGATCATGCAGGTACCTTTGTTGATGAGGTATGCCCCTCTTTCCCCTAGCAGTTTCCCTCACCTGCCAACCTTACCCCCCCTCCCCTGACAGTTTCCCATTACTGCCAAACACTTTCTTATAGTATTATAATTGTTCAAGGTCCGCTTATGAGTGAGAACATGGTACACTGTTCTGTTTCTGTGATAGATCACTAAGTATGATCGACTCCAAATCTATCCAAGTTGCTGCGAAGTCCATATATTTGTCCTTCTTTATGGCTGCATAATATTCCATTGTGTATATGTACCACATTTTCTTTATCCAGTTCAGCTTTGATGGGCAACATGGTTGGTTCCATGTTTTTGCTATTGTGAATAGAGCTGCAACAAACATACGTGTGCAGGTATCTTTTTGGTAGAATGATTTGAGTTCCTCCAGGTATATTCCCAATAGGGGAGTTGCTGGGTCATATGGAAGGTCAATTTCTAGTTCTTTCAGAAATTGCCACATTGTCTTCCAAAGAGGTTGTACTAGGTTGCATTCACACCAGCAGTGTAGAAGCGTTCCTTTTTCTCCACATCCTTGCCAGCATCTGTTGCTGTTTGTTTTCTTAATAATGGCCATTCTTACTGGGTTTAGGTGATATCTTAATGTGGTTTTGATTTGCATTTCTCTGATGATGAGTGAGGCTGAGCACTTTTTCATGTATCTGTTGGCTGCCTGTATATCTTCTTCTGAGATATTCATGTCTTTTGCCCACTTTTTAAAGGGACTGTTTGTTTTTCTCCTTTCGGCGCATTTGAATTCCTTGTAGACCTAGATGTTAGGCCTTTGTCAGATATACAGTTGGCAAATATTTTTTCACATTCTATGGGCTGTCTCCCTGCTCTCTTGATGGTTTCTTTTGCTTTGCAAAAGCTTGTTAGTTTGACGAGGTCCCACTTGTCTATCTTATTTCTTAAGGTATTGGCCTTTAGGGTTCTGAATAGGAATTGGTTGTCAGTTCCAATTTCCATATGGGTGTCTCCTACGTTTTCTAACATTCTTATGGCTTGAGGTTTTATGTTTAGGTCTTTGATCCATTTAGAGTTAATTTTTGTGTATGGTGATGGGTAGGGGTCCTCTTTTTTTATTATAAAAATGTAGGATACAATTCAGGGTTAGGTATACAAACATTGATTATGCAGGTACCCTTGTTGATGAGAGGTCCTGTTTCAATCTTCTGCATGTGGTCAGCCAGTTTTCCCAGCACCATTTACTGAATAGGTTCTCCTCTCCCCAGTGTTTGTTGTTGGAGGCTTTGTCCAAGATGAGTTAGTTGAGGAATTGAGGCTTTGCTTCCGGAATCTTTATACTGTTCCATTGTAATTTTTGGATTTATTGTAGAGATGGGGTCTCGGCAAGTTGCCTAGGCTTGTCTTGAACCTGCAGGCTCAGGCAATCCTCTCACCTCGGCCTCCCAAAGTGCTGGGATTATAGGTGTGAGGCACTGTGCCTGGCCTGGTGTGTACATTGGCAGATATTGTTAATAATCTCACCATTGATAACTTTTGTGTGTGTAGTTCTTATGCTCCCTATAGGACAAGCCAATTTTAACTTAAATGGGTACTCCTATTGCTTCATACTCTTCATGAAGTTGCATACTTTTTGCAGCATGCAAAAGTTTATTTTCATTCCCAATGTAGCAATAAAATAATAAATATAATCATTATCTTGAGATTCTTGCAGTTTATTCTAGGTGATGTTATAAGGAATGAAAAGTACATAAGGATATACTTTTCAGCCCAAAAAAATAGTTGAAGAAAAACCTCTGTAGCAGATTTTTCACATGGGAAATGCTCACTTTTTTCCAAGTGTAGTGGGTCCTAGCTTGGGATGCTAGGTGCTTTTTCTTTTGAGTTGGAATCACAGAGTTAGAGAACCTTGGGAGAGGAGGTCATTTGAACTAACTCCTTTAACATAGAGATAAAAAAATGAAAACACAGAGTCTGCCGTGATCTATTTGAAGTTAATAAGGGCTGGAATTCAAGCTAGGCTCTCTTGTCTTCTGGAAAGTGTTTTTCATCTGAATGGGAGGGAACACTCAAGGCTGGGGTTGGATGGGGAAGGGAGAAGGAGGCGCTTGCTAACAAGCACTGTGCTAAGCACATCACATCTATTGAGCATAAACTCAGATATCTAATACCTTCTAATGACATGTAGCACTGAACTTATGGTTTTGTTTTTCTACTGAACAGAATTTGCTCTTATAAACCAAACATTTTTGGTGTTCAAGGTGAGCATAAGTGCTATGGACTGAATTGTGCCCCCCCATTCATATTTTGAAGCCCTAACCCCTAATGTGTTCAGACTCAGAGATAAGGGCTATAGGACTTAATTAAGGTTCAGTGAGGCCATTGAGGTTAGGCCTTAATCTGATATGACTATGACCTTATAAGAAGAGGAAGAGGAAAAGAGAGACAGAATATCTCTTATCAACTTATGAGTACATAGTGAGAAGGCAGCCATTTGCAAGCCAGGAAGCGAGCCCTCACCAGAATTTGATGCTGCTGAATCTTGACCTGAGACTTTTAGCACCCAGAACTGTGAGCAAATTTTCTGTTGTTTTAGTCACCCAGTTAATGATATTTTGTTATGGTGGCCCAAGCTGACTAATATAATAAGAGATACATATAAATGTGTGCATCCCAATTCCTGCCCTTAAACCATACTTTTTATCACTTTAAATTTATAAAAAACAATTACCTATAATTTCACCAATTAGAAGTATTAGTCATCCAGACTGTGATCTATTAATATATACCTTCCTATTAAAAAGGATTATACCCTCCATACCTATTTGCAACCTCAAACATTATCTTACCTCCCTCTTTCTATGGGCTCACAACTTTAAACAATCACTGGAGTTATGGGAAGTGGAAATCGTTTGCTATAGCTTAAAGTTCCACAAAAAACAGTAGGTGGGTCAACTTTAATCAAGTGCCAGTTACAGGACTTAGTATAGACAGAGGATTTGAATCTTGGAAGTAACCATATTGGTCACCTTACCTCTTGCCTGACACAGTTGTCCAACAGAGTCACTCAGCTCCTTGCAGTGACATACTGCTTACACTGTACCCAAACTTGCCTCCCAATCCAGTAGATCCTATCCAGTAGTCCTATGACCATTTGTTGGAGACCTGCACAGGGTAGTTAATCTATCCTCCAGTATTTAAAGTCAGCTGTTGTGTGCCTGCCCCCATACTTCCAAGTCTTCCCCAGATGACAGTTCTCAGATCCTTTGTACCCAAGTTACAAGGATGGGGAACCATGCTGGTTGCACTTTAGATGTGCCCAAGTTTGCTCATCAGATACCTAGATCCTGATTCTGTTATCCAACACATTTGCTCCTTTCAGTATTGCCATTTGCAAATTTGATAAAGATGCTGTACATCTATAGTGGATTCAGCAACCTCTGGATTTGCACAGTAATATAGCTCTAAGGAAAGCATAAATGTTAGGTGAACTGAGTTTGAACAATAACTCCAATTTAGTTGCATCTGGTAGCCATCCTTTCCATTAAAGTCTTGATTCTACCCTGGACAGTGTTTAAGTGCTAAGTTGAGTAAGAACAGATGAGAGGTATATGGTAGGTGGTGAAAGACATATAGTTGCTAAGTGAATATTCACACAGAAATAGGAAAAACTATTGCTCATCTGCAATCATTTTGCCCTATATTTCTCAAGTTTATGTGGGGCTACTCTTCTAGTCACTAGGTTCAATTGTCTTTCCAACAAAAAGAAGATTTTTTTTTTCCCAAATAAGCAGTGATTGAGATTTAGGGTCCTGAATTCATTTATTATTTGCAAAACCAATAGTACTAAGGCCTTGTTGTAGCAGTTGCAAATATGGGGAAATAAAAAGTGCTGGAATTAAATGAGTTTTCTCATATGGATTCACGTCCTTTGAAAATCATTGGTCAGTGGTTTTGCACCTTTATCTTGTCAATGTTCATAGGCAGATATGATCTTAATTACTAAGAACAGAAAAAGACAAAATGTCAGAAAGAAATAATATGCTGACAGTTAAGAGAAGAATGAGCCAAATGAAATTCCATGCCTACTTCATCTTTGCAAAAAAAAAAAATCTCATTTAGTGTCATGAATTAAAATTCTCATGAAACTACACAGGCAAATTAATTTTATAAACACTCCTAGAATTTAACCAAAGCATATTCATACCCAATAAGAATATCTTTCCCTTGGTCTCTTGAATGTATAGAACTATGTTTGATTCTTGCCTTGGCAAATTTCTACCTGAATGATCTTGGGCAAGTGACGATCTTTTGTGGTTATGTTTCTTCATAAAAATAGAGATAATAACACTATTTACTTCACAGAGATCTTGTGAGAGACAATTGAAGTATTCTCTGTAAAGCACAATGAACAATTAGTACAATGCCTGGCACAGTTGACATTCAGTCAATGGCGACTCTTCTTAGTACTCTAGCA